CGGCTGTAGCGGGGCAGAGCCCGCCGGAGGGGCCAGCTGCCACCCAGCAAGGTGGAGGTCAGAGCCCCTCGGCTCGCGGAGCAGCCCTGGAGTCCCCCTGCAGCCCCTGGCTGGGGGGCAGAGCACAGCGCAGCTGGATCCGCCCACAGGCCACAGCCTCCAGCAAACAAAGCCACCAAGCCAGAGCTGCTGGGCGTGCGAGGGAATTCATAGTGACCGGCCGCCTCAGTCCCTGACCATGGGCAGAGCTCCCAGTCCCAGCGGCTGCACTGATCTCCCGGGAAGTGAAGATGTGGCCGATGCTGCCCTAAGCGCCGCACCTCTCGCCAAGGGGCTTTAGGTGGGGAGCAGGGGCGCTCCAGCGCTCCCTGTGGCGAGGCTGCTGAAAGCTGCCGCGAGGGGACAACACTGTGGGGTGTAGACACGGCCTTGGACTGCGTGAGGAGAGGGTCTGGCCTGAGCAAATTGAATTCTCCTTGCCCATGAAGACAGGGCCGGCCAGAGCCATTTTGGCACCCTGGGTCCCAGGTGCACGGCGCCGCCCCCGGGGCGCACGGCCCTGCCTCTGGGTGCACGGGCCACGGGGGGAAGGGCGCTGCTGGCCGGTGCTGCGGGGGTTAACACAGCCCCCGCCCCAGGTGGCCGCTGCAGCCTGCCGGGAGCCGGGTGCCCCCCGTAGGTTGGTGCCCTGGGCAGCTGCCCGGCTAGCCCACCCCTTAGTCCGGCCCTGCATGAAGTCCCGGGGCCACTGCTGCAGAGAAGAGAAGCTGCAGGATACGTCTTATGGCCCCACGTCTAATGCTCGGGGCTCTCTTGAGGGCGTTTGGGAACTTGCTTGGCATGTTGCTTCTCTGCAGGGACCACACGACACGACCCACCTTCATCCTCGTCCCCTGCTCTCAGAAATGACCCCAACTTTCGAATGGCACCAAACTCATCACCCCTGCTCCATCCCTTGCCCTGCCCCCCACACCATCCCTCACTCTCCTCCACCCTCAGTAAGCGTCCGTGGCCCAGGGCAGACGGTTGGGATGCAGGAGGGAGGGAGAGCTGTGGAGTAGGGTGTGGGCTCTGGAGTGGGGCCAGGGATTAGACGTTGGGGGTGCAGGACGGGGCTCTGGACTGGGTCAGGGCATGGGATGCAGGGGTTGAGGGCTCCACCTGGGAATCCAGGCTCTGGAGTGGGGCCAGAGATGAGGGGCTTGGCGTGTATGGTGGGGATCAGAGCAGGAGACTGGGGGGCAGGTGGAGTGCTGGCTCCAGGAGGGAGTGGGCTTGGCGTGTATGGTGGGGATCAGAGCAGGATTCTGGGGGGCAGGTGGAGTGCAGGGAGGTCGGGTGTGGGAGGGGTTTCCAGGCTGGGGCAGGCGGGTTGGGGTGCTCCGGAGGGGGTGAACCACAGGCCCCACATGCTCTGGGGGGCAAGCCACTGTCAGCCCATGTTCGGGGAGGAGGGCTGCCCAGCTATGGAGGGGCCCTAGGTGGCAGGGGCAGGGTCTCAGGCAGAACGGGTGGGGCTGGGGACTTGCCTCCCCCTGTCCTAGGTTCACCCCGACTCATGCTAAGAGCTTTTCATCCGCCCGGCACTCGGCACCACAGGGACCTGTCACCGCTCAGCAGCTCCCCCGAGGCTCCTGCCTCTTCCCCTCCTCTGGTCGGACTCTGCTCAGCTCCCAGCCAGGGGCTCGGAGCCAGGGGTTGCCCAGGAGAAGTGGCCCCCAAAGGAATTTGCGCGGAAGCAGTCAGACGAGAGACGAGCCTCAGCACCTCGGCCCCTTAGAAAGGCCCAACGTGGACGGGAGCCCGGAGCGACGGGGAAAGGCAGCAGCCGTGCAGTAGGGGCCTGATCCAAAGCCCACTGAAGCCAACGGAAAATTGTCTGCTACCACTTAGCTTTGTACTAAGACCTACTGGCTTCTGGACACCTTATTAAAGGGCCCCTCAGACCTCAACTACACCTACCCAGATGTCTCCAGATGGGCAGGCCTGGCTCCAAAATCCTGCTCGGTCACTGCAGAAAATTCCCCTCGAGGAATCTGCGGGAGCCAAAGTCTGGGGGTGACTAGCCCAGCCAGGTCTGGGAGACCAACTCCCCCGAGGCAGGAAGGCTGCAAACACTGGGCTGGGTTCTACACACTCTGCTGCCCAGGGAGCACAGCAGAGAGGACGTGGGACGAGAACCAGGCCCCCGCTTTTTCAAAATGCCTTTTTATTCTGACGCTTTAATGCCGACCGAGCAGCAGCGCGCGTGTGTCTGTCAAACTCCTTCTGTGCGTCTGGATCCCTCCAGGCCAGTGAGCTCCGGAACGGCACACTGCCCAGACAACACTGCAGCGCCCCGTGGGGCTAAGCGCGTTTCCTCTCCCCGGGGCAGCTTTGCAAAGGATTGCTCTGATTGTGACTATAACTAAATCTAGCCAATGCAAAGCATGGGGTCCCAGTACTATAACTAAATCCAGCCAACGCAAAGCACAAGGCCCAGCAGAGAAGAGCTTACAAAGTATGAAGAGGAAAAGAAAAGAGAAAGTTGCCCTATTTTGGATAAATATGAACCATGATACTTCTCCCCCCGCGCCCATGGGGGTGATGTTTGGCTGTGCCCCAGGCTAACCCTTTCCCTCCTTTCGGGGAGCAAGGCCTGGCCTCGCTGCAGACTGCAGGGTGGGGAAGGGGCAACTAGCAGTAAGAAGCTGGTTTGATGAGGATGGCAGAGGCTTGGCAGTTCCCGGAACACAAACTGCCCCAAGTGATGCTCCCTTTGACATTCAGTCGAGCAGAATAACAACCCGAGTACCACCAACCCCCGCCATAGCTAGACGCACAGTTCCCGCTGTAAGTGTCCTGATCCAGGTCCTTCGTGGTGAACTTCATGTTGTCATGCACAGAACTAGCACTGTTTGAAGTCATGGCGTCCCCTGCAGTCCCCGAGTAGGAGCCCAGACGCAGCCGGTAGCCTTTGGACTCATCTTCCAGACTGAAGAGGTTGTAGTCTGCGTATTTCATGGTGCCAGAGGAATCGTGGATGATGAACCTGACCTGGTAGACTTTCTGCTTGGTGATCTGATAGATGTACTCCATCCCCAGCCAGTAGTCACTGTGCACGTCGCCAAAGCCATATTTGTAGGTGCTCCACGATTCGGACCAGGTGAGCTGTGTGTTGTGCCGGTTTCTCTGGAGGACTGTCCAGCCTTCACTGGTGCTGTTCAAGTCACAGGAAACAACGATCTGGTGGAGTCCGGCGGGCTGGATAATGAAGACACCACTGACCCTGTTCCAGGTAATCTCGCTGCAGTCCCTGGGAAAGGCTGTGCACAAGGAAGAGTTTGCTGTACTAACCCTGCTTTGCTCATCCCATCCTGGGCCGATGAGATCGGGCCCCTCCGGAGCATCTCCAACCCTAGTGTCTGCTCTGACACGCCAGCCCTTTGCAAGCACATTTTCAAAACGCTACTGGAGTCCGGCGGGCTGGATAATGAAGACACCACTGACCCTGTTCCAGGTAATCTCGCTGCAGTCCCTGGGAAAGGCTGTGCACAAGGAAGAGTTTGCTGGAGCTCACCCTGCTTTGCTCCTCCCATCCTGAGCCAGTGAGAACGGGCCCCTCCAGAGCATCTCCGACCCTAGTGTCTGCTCTGACACGCCAGCCCTTTGCAAGCACAGTTTCAAAACGCTGCAACAATGTCTACACTAGCCTCCTAGTTCAAACTAGGGAGGCTAATGTAGGCATTTGAAGTTGCAAATCAAGCCCGGGATTTAAATATCCCGCATTTGATTTGCATCTTCCTGGCCAGTCGCCATTTTTTGAAATTTACAAGTCCAGACTAACTGCCCACGTATACACGCGGCAGGTACCCAGTATTTTGAATTAAAGCCCTAGTTCGAACTCCCTGTTATTCCTCCTGGAATGAGGTTTAACACGTAGTTCGAACAAGGGCTTTTTTCCGACCTACCGGGTCCCTGCCGCATGTAGACGCAGGCAGTTAGCCTGGACTTGTAAATTTAAAAAAATGGCGACCGGCCAGGAAGATGCAAATCAAGGGCAGGATATTTAAATCCCGGGCTTGATTTGCAACTTTGAATGCCGACATTAGCCTCCCTACTGCGAACTAGGGGTCTAGTGTAGACATACCCTTTGTGTGTATCCTGGAAGACAATCAGACCCGGCTGCATGACCTGCAGGGGCTTTCTTAGAGGTGTTTACAATGTGCTGGACACTGCAGGCCAACAGCACCGTATGGCTTGGGGCAAATGTATCTTACAGCAGCAGGTCCAGTCCAGCCTCAGCTCACGGCTGGGCCAAGAGCTCTTTAACATTGGCCTGTGCACTGGACAAGGCAAATGTATCTTACAGCAGCAGGTTCAGTCCAGCCTCAGCTCATGGCTGGGCCAAGAGCTCTTTAACATTGGCCTGTGCACGGGAGCCACAAACACGCCCCCTCTCCATCCCGCCCCCACTGCCTAACTCAAATTTTCTTGCAAGCATTTTGCCGCGACCTCCCCACACCTGCAGCAGAGGGAGAGACGGCCCAGTGTGCTCCCAGCCAGCACCCAAGCATCATTTCTTTAGGCCCATACAAACCTGTGACATGGGCCCATCCCACACACACAATTCGCAGCCAAAGCTTCTCCTCCCCCCTGTGGACCAGCTCCATCCCTGGGGCAGCGGGTGCTGGCGACCCAGCCACTGCCAGCCACCTCCCTCACAACCTAAAATCTGCCACCCGCTTCTTTGCTCCTCGGGGCCTGTGTGATGCCTGGGATTCCCCTGGGGCCAGGCGTGAGCACACCGCCCCGGCACCTTGCCCCTCCCCTCAGACAGAGGCTGCCCGAGTCGCTCATTTCTGCAGGGCGTGTGGAGGGCCAGCCTGGGAGACACGTACCGTAGCCTTCCGGTAGCTGCAGGTCACTGTCTCTGCGCTGCCGTGGGTTTCCTTCGCCCTCGTGTGCAGGGGCAGGAACGGGGAGAGCTGGGTGATGGGAGGGCTCCTTAGCGCCCATTGCCAGTCTCCCTGGGGCCGCGGTGGAACGTGTTAGTGGTGCCTCCGCTTCCCTTTCTGCACCCTCCCCCCTCCCACCTCCCTGGCTCTGCTCCCTTCCAGCACGGGCCAAATGCAGCCTCCCAACTCCCCAGCCATGCCCCTGGCTCTGCACTCACCAGCCTGCAGCTTCCAGTCCTGTCCCTGGCTCTGCAGCAGCCTCCTTCCCACGCAGCCGTGCCTGGCCCTGCCCAGCTCAAGCTGGGTGTTACCACAGCGCCCGTCGCCGTGCTGCCAGGGCACTCCCGCCTCCTCCCGTCTGCCACCTTCTCCCTAGGGCTGTGTTCACCTGCCCCCCTTCCCCATGCACCTCTGTGGCCCGAGGCAGCCAGCACCCTCTGCCTTCTCCCTGCTCTGCCACCACCCAGCCCCCTGGGCCACCACCTGCCTCCCTCCTCGAACGCCCGCGGCTCGGAGTGTCATTTCCTCCAGTGGCTTCAGCCCCGCGTAATGGCAGCCAAGCGGAGCTGTGCTGGGCCCCCAGGCCGGCTGAGAGGGCCGGAGGCGCAGGTAGAACTCACCTGCCATCAGGGCCCTTGGGTGGTTCCTGAGTCTGTGGGTGGGTCCCTTGAAGATGTTCCCATTGTGTATTCCCAGGGCCAGCCCTGGGGCTGGCAGGGCCAAGAGGCTGGCGAGGAGCAGGAGACGAGGGATCCAGGCAGCTGCAAAAGGGGAGAGCGGGGGAGACGCTGGGAACGCAAACCTGCCCCCGAGGAGCCAGGCTCCCAATTCCCGCTGCCACGGGCTGGTGCGATCCAGAGCTGGCTCCCACACAAGCTGGCACCGCTGCCCTTGCCCCTCGGGCACAGAGGAGACGCCAGGAATTGGCCCCATTGGGACAGACACCACAAGGGGGAGAGGCCCAGGCGAGCTTGGGATTTACCCTGGAGAAATGTTCCCAGCCGCTTGCCCCACAGAGACCCCCTATGCCAGGGGCACTACTGGAGCAGAGGGGAAGAGTGGGGGGGAAAGAGAAAATGGGGACCATGGCTGGGTGGGCACTAAGGCCCTGGGGAGCAGGGCTCTGAGCAGAGGCGAGGTGGGAACCGAGAGCCGGGGGGCAGGCCGGGGGCAGGGTCCAGGCCAGTGTTCGCTGTAGGCGGAGCACTTCGGTAGCCACCCAGGAGAGATTCCAACGCTGCCCAGCCGACGGGCAGAGCGCACACAGCATGTGTTTCTACTCCTGGTGCACATCCGCACAGGCCTGGGTGCGCATCAAAATTATTCCACACATGGATGCAGAAAATTAGAGGACGGGGGGCAGGCCGGGGGCAGGGTCCAGGCCAGTGTTCGCTGTAGGCGGAGCACTTCGGTAGCCACCCAGGAGAGATTCCAACGCTGCCCAGCCGACGGGCAGAGCGCACACAGCATGTGTTTCTACTCCTGGTGCACATCCGCACAGGCCTGGGTGCGCATCAAAATTATTCCACACATGGATGCAGAAAATTAGAGGAAACAATGGAGGGGGGGAGGC